GGCCCCGCCCCCACTACGGGGCTGGGAAGCTGTGAGCGGGGCGGGCAGAGGCCTCCAGGTCCGACGGAAGAGGGTGGGGGAGGCAGCAAGGCTGGGGAACCACCAGGGCAGGAGGGCACAGGCTGGGAAGGCGCAAGGTGGCCGTCCCATGGAGCGCCCTCTGTCCTGGGGACATGTCCTCCCCTGAGGCTTGCTCCCTACACTGACCGCCCAAGCTGGCGTGGGGGCTGTGCCTGCAGGACGCTGGAGCCCCCTAACTGCGGACCACACCACACCACTGCGGGTCCGATCTCTGCTCTAAAACGCACCCAAAACTAAGCACAAACAACTTTCAAGCTTCAGGGGAACCTTCTTCACAGAGGGACCCTAAACACTCGTCAGCAGACCAGGCACTAAGTGCCAGAAGAACGTTTCCTGAGAGGCGCCAACCTGCCCCCAGCTCGGTGGCCCTGGGTGCTCCACAGCCCAGTTAGCTCCAGCCCCGTCTGCTCGTCACCACGGGTGGCCCCACGCTGGCCCTCACCACGCTAGGGGGACACGAGGCTCGCACCACGCTGCCTGCAGGTACCATCTGCAGTCTGTGGGCCACTGCGGCTGGCCCGCATGTACAGAGCAACAGTGGACAACACCGAAGGGCCCAGAACCCCGGCTGCAGCCCCCAGCTGCCTGGGGGTCTGCTTCGTGTCAGCCCTGCCTCTGGGGACAGCTCAGACCGTGGAGGCCGAGGGGACGTGGGCACCTGTGGCTCCGACCCACTACCCAGCCACGGGCATGTAGACAGATGTCTACTACCGAGCCTCGTGCATGGGCCCCAAGAGGAGGCCGAGCAGGCATGTGGGGAGGGCCAGTGCAGGGCCCAGGCCAGGACCGCCCGACACTCCAGCCAAACCCCAAAGCCAAGGAGGTGGACGCTCCTGCCTCTGCAGAGGGCCCCACACGGAAGGGTGTCCAGAGGGATGGGAGGCTCAGGGTGCACCGTTGCCAGGGCAGGGGGGAGGGCATCCAGGGCCTTCTCTCCACAGAGAGAGAGCTCCTTTCTGGATCGCCCGTCAACAGCCTGTGGTCTCAGGGCCTGGCAAGGGGAATGTCCCACAGCATCACAGACTTACCAGAAATATCTCAATGGTCCCCAGAATGTACATGGCCCCTGCAAACGTGGTGCCCAGGTAGAAACAGAGCCCCACGGCCCCTCCAAACTCAGGCCCCAGCGACCGGGAGATCATGTAGTAGGAGCCTCCCGCTGAGAACAGAATGAGACAGGTTAGGGACACACAGTTCTCACGTGCTCAGACCTCACAGGACAGGTGGCTGGCTCAAACACAGGGGGGTGCCCCCCCAGGCCCGCCGCCTCCCCCAACCTCAAAAACGGGCTGAGCAAGTACTTGGCTGATCTGGATTCTGATGCGTCATTAAATACCATGTCTACGCTACCGTTGTAACTGAGCACCCTCATTAGAGATGTGTACGCGCAGAGAAGGGTGGGACGGAGGATCCTCACGAGGCCCCAGGAGAGTCTGCATGGTCAGACTGACCAACGCCCCATGCTCAGCTGACCTGGCGGGCAAGGCCAGGCGCGGGGGGACCCCCGGACTCCAGGGGCAGAACCAGCCTCCTGACACACGCATTAGGGAGGCTGGTCTTCTTCTACGCTCTCTTGCGAAGAACCCCCACCAGCAAACACCTTCCCTCGGCCTGGGGGCCGCCCACACCAGCAAATAGAGGCATTACTTTGTTGCAAAGTGCACTGAAGAAAAGAAAAACCAAACAGCAGCAATTTCATGGGCCCTAGGCTCGCTGGGGCAGCTCTACTCTGTCCTACAGGGTTTCTAAGAGTCAGAATTGACTCAACAGCAACACATTTGGTATTTGGTTTTTTAGTGCCAAAGCAAGCCCAGCAGAGGACACGTCCCAAAGGCTTCCCCCAGGCCTGGACAGCCCCTCCCCACTTTCTCTTGCCTCCCCCCAGGCAGCCCTCTCCCCTGCCACCCAGTCACTCGGATGAGGCAGTGACTGCCCACTGTGGCTTTTTAATGAGTCCCACAAGTGACTTGGTTCCCAGAGAACGACGGCTCCACGGGGATCAACCTTCATTCAAAAGGAAGCAAGGACTCAGGACGGAATGCCAGTCCCCGTCAGACGAGGAAGTACCGTGGCGGCCATTTATTTACCAAGGGCGCGCTCTAACAAGACAGCAATCCCAGAGCAGCGTCTGAGTGCAGGGGAGAGCCACGGGGAGGGCCGTGGAAAGGGTCACGGGGGCACTAGCGCCCCTCCTGGGCCCCCCTGCACCCCTCATGGGCAGTGAGTGACGGAGGCTGGCGGGCGGTGGATTCGAGATTGAGGGTCATCTGGCTGGAAAGACAGTGTCCAATGACAAAGGGATGTTCAGCAGGGGGTGTATTTAGGTGAAAGCGGAAACTGGGAACAGAGCCTGCTGTCCAGCCTCACCTGAGCGAGGGGTCCTGGTACCCCCTGGCGACGGCTTAATGTCAAGATCATCACCCTGGCAAAAGGGCGCTCGAGTGGGCGCCCCAGGGAGCCCAGGCCAACACCAACACAGGGTGAAGGCTGCAGGTGAGCAACGGCCCTTACCTGGGACCGCCCTAAGCAGGGGCCACCCTCACCAGGGACTGCCCTCACCCGGGACCACCCTCTCTGGGGACGGCCCTCACCGGGGACCGCCCTAAGCAGGGACCGCCCTAAGCAGGGACCGCCCTCACCTGGGACCACACCATTGGTGGCGACAGCACTCATAGAGATGGCAGTCAGCATGGTCTGTGGAAAGATGGGCAGCACTTTAGGAGATCCGCATTCTGGAGGCTGGGGGCCGGGGCCAGCACACACTTGGGGGGCCACTCGGGACCCACCCCAGCTACAAAGCAGGCTGCTGACCTCAGGAGAGCTGCGCGGGGCCAGAGCCTGGGGCCTGAGAACTCTCAGGGCAGCCACCCCTGGGCTCTTGGTCCTTTCCTATGAGACCCGTGAGGCTGCACCCCTGCGGGCCCCAGAACCCACTAAGCTCCTGTGAGACCTGCAATGCTGTACCCCTGCAGGCCCCAGAACCTACTCAGCTCAGGACCCACAGCACTGCATCCCTGGGGGCCCCAGAACCCACTCAGCTCAGGACCCACAATGCTATACCCTTGGCTGCCCCAGAACCCGCTCAGCTCAGGACTCACAACGCTGCACCCCTGGGGGCCCCAGAAACCACTGAGCTCAGGACCCATAGCACTGCACCCCTGGGGGCCCCGGAACCCACTCAGCTCCTTCGAGACCTGCAATGCTGGCCAGCCCAAGACACTTCTGTCCAAGTGCCCACTGCCCTCCCTGGGGTGCTGGGGGGACCCGTCTAGGTGCCTGACCCCATGAGGTACAAGGGGGGCTGCCTAAATACAAGAGTGTGCCTTCCACCTCCTCCAACACCCATGCAGAGATCTGCAGCCAGCCCGGGTACACGGCCCCGTGACATCCAGTACAGCATGTTAAAATGCATTTCTGCAGAGGTGGTTACAGTGAAAACTCTCGGCTAATCCGTAATCCAGGCTTAATCAGCGGAAAGTAAAAGAAAATTAAGGCCTAGTGGGGGCTTTTTCCTTCGATCAGAAGCAGCCGCCACCTGGGGGGGTTTGCAGCCAGCTCCCGCCCCCTAGCCCCCACCCCCAGGTACCCTACCC